GTTACCATTAACGCCTTTTTCTAGTTAATTAATAATAATTCAAATATGAAACAGATGTGTCAGACACTGTGATGTCTTTTACTTCAACTTCACTGGATACATTGAATCGACATATAAATGGAAGTAACCATTGTTAACTCATAATACGTCGTCGATATATCTAAATGTCCAGTTAAGGCCACAGAAAGATTTTTTTTCTTTTCATGTAGAAGTTTTTGAATAAACTCTGATCTCAAAAAACTAAAAACAATACAAATATGTGAACAGGGCATAAAACACGGACACTTGGAAATTCCAGAGGTGAATCAGGTGTCTAGGAGGAGTAAACATCCCCTGTCGATAGGTCGTAACCGCCGTGAGCCCTATGTATTGACCTAGTTACATATCAGGTTCAAAGATTTTGGATATATGGTACTTCATCCATTTTTTTAAATGGCACTACAAAATGTGTATATCAAATGGACGAGAAAACATAAAAGGAATATTATTAAGGAGGAGATGAAAGGTTGATAAAGTTTTAAAAAATAATATTATTCCTTTAACAATATTTCCGCGTGGACAATTGCTCAGTCTTAAAAATTATCTAATGTGAAGATCAGTATTTGCTGTGTTGTTGCACCTCAATTCATCTATTAGTTTATGAACTTCCAAACGCATTTTCTGGTCAAATATTCCGTAGATGAAAGGATGAATCACGTATGGTAACGTATTCATCCTCTTCATCGCAAAATAAAAATTCAGGAAATTTTCTTTCATTAACATTTCCGGTTTCTTATAATCTATGTTAATGGCTACTATTGGCGGAATATTAAACACAATTGTCACAATCAAAGTCACCAAGAACATTGTCATTATTCTCAGGTAGGAATGGAGATTTTTTGACACCATGCCAGATATTTTTACGTTTGTTATATCTCTGTTGACTTGGTTCATTTGATTTCTTCGAAATGATTTACGACGGTGTTCTTCGTACAGTCTGTTCATTACTTTGATATAAAATATTATAGTTACTATAATGCTCATCATTAGTAACCAGCTTAATCCTTCGTATATTCCTCTTATCGTCTGAGGCAGGTTGGGAAGCAAATAACACTTGTATCCCGTCACATTAGAATATATTGGATGATTTACTTTGACCAGGCCTCTGGAAAAAATGGTAGGCACATGTATTAAAGCAGAAAGAACAATGCAACCCGCAACAAAACACTGCATCCAAAATAGGTTCATCTGGCGCTTAAATGGACGACAAATCTTCTGGTACCTTTGTACAGCGATGACGGACAGCAGAAATATACCACTATTTGAAAGTACAACTGAGCCATATTCCAGAAGCTTGCAGGTTAAGTTCCCTGGAAATTGCACATAATAGGAATTTGACAATAAGTCTAGAATGCATGATATTACAAGAGCAAGTACTTCAATGCAGGCTAAGATAGGAATAAAAAAGCGACCAGTTGTCCATTTTCCCATCCGACAGTAGTAGATGTAGACTACCAAAACATTTGCCGGAACTCCTACTGCTAGGACTATAAGTAGGAAAACTGTGTTTGGTACAAACAAATCCTGATAATGATCATTCCACAAATTCAGCTGTTCACTGCGATTAACGATTGGTGCCGAATGATTCCAGATTATTTCCAATTTTCGCATTATCATTGCAACCTATTAAGTGTCCTTTGTGTATATTACTACTGTGATTTTGCCTCCAATATTTCACGCGTTGCTAATTCATCCAAACTAGAATTTTGAAAGGAATACTCGTCTTTGCACGATTTTTAAAATAATCTTTTTGGAAGAATTTCAAACTCCAGTCTTGATTGCGTTTTCTACAACTACAATCGATGAGTAAATTTGAAAATAATAATTTTATATTTGGTATCAAAAACAGATTTGTTACCTCGATTTCCTGCTTTTGGTGTATCACCAAGTGGGATAACAAATGGATAGAAATCAAACTTAATAAATATATATATGTTCAATGGTTCATATTTCAAAGTCTAGTAGATTAAAGTTTCTTTCCAAATTTTAAACCAACTTTATTTTTAAGTTGATTATAACATGTTGAGTCTAAAATGAATTTTCCTGAGTAGAGGCGAAGTTCAACTTTTAATACATTGGACTGAGTTGAAAGGATTAAAAAAAACATCCTGAAAAAACTCGTAATTCTCAAGAGTTCGTGATGGTAAACTGGGATACCTTTTTATAAATATGAAAATGTGTGGTATTCACAGATTGTAACACCAAAGACCGATATCAGCCTTTCACACTAGTAATTCAGAGAAGATAGCTCTCTCTCTCTCTCTCTCTCTCTCTCTCTCTCTCTCTCTCTCATTTGACATGCATTGATTGATAAATTCTATAAAGTTTCACATCTTACATTAATGAAATACCCATGTTACAAATATTTTTCTCAATTTAAGTGTTTACATGTGACCAGGAAGCTCGCGTCAAATACAGTTCGTTATCTCCATATTTCATGATCGTGCATGACAAGATTGCATCAATATTGTCGTATTATGGATGCACTTAATATTGTCAAATATTATCTATAAACCATTGTGATTGGAAATGTAGGATTTCCCTTGAGTCTTTGAACCAAAGAGATAAAATTATTCAAACTATACATATATGTAAGAAAAATCTAAATAAAACATAGTTTCATCTGCGTAAAAATACGGAACTTTCATTGTGAAACACATACAAGTCTCTCTTTTTTTCGTTACTTTGTATTTCCTGTAATTAGTCTTTTATAGTCCGTTTATGAGGTCAAAAGGTTGTAGTATATTACCATTAATTACTACTTGATCATTAAAAGATGCTACTATTTTATGGTTCACTAACTATGAGCGTCTGCGGTTTATTGGCCTAGTGCATACAAGATACTAATAAGTGCATACAAAAACAAAAAATTAGTAGTAATTTAGATTAATAGGGGTCCATAACCCAGACTGATAACTCCACTAGGATAATGATTTTAAGAGTATCTTTGTTTGGATTTTCCTTTTTTGTTTTTTGTTTAATTTCAAATAATTTCCTTGGTGAGTATTAAACACTTTGAAGTTTTTTAGTGTTTCGAAAAGTTGAATTTTACATATTATGTTCTTATATTTCTTGTATTTACCTACATTTTTTGATTTCTTTAAGTAATATTCATTATCAATTCTTCATGCATTTGTTATATTTCATATTGTTAATTAGTAATTTAAGAATATGACTTCTAAGGATCTGTTCAAAATATGATCTCGTCAATATTCGCAGAAATATGAATTATGTGCATATTTTAGTCACACCTTTTTAAGATCATACATTGTAATACATCAAAAATCCAGAAAAAGTGCATGTTTGATCGTACTTTCTTGTTTTTGCCCTTTTACGTCCAAATTAATTTGTTATATGGTAAATTAAGAGAAAAATGGTATTTATTTTGGAGGATTTCTTTTTTTTTTATTGATTTTGTTTTGAATTTCAATATAGATACAAAAAAAAATAGTATTAATGTAGATTAATTACTACTAACTTTTTGTTTTTGTAAACACATTAGTAGAAAAATTTGGGAAGAATTGAAAGAAAAATGGGAAGAATTGAAAGAAAAAGGCTGGTTTAATAGGAAATTTATTTCGTGGTAAATATGTGTTTAAACAATAATTAGGTCTGCACCAATTGTATTAAAATTTCTCTAACAAGATTTTTCTAGTATCCAAGTTCTTCAAGGAATATCTGAAGCACCGCAATATAAAAAGATGTCTCCAAGTAAATGCTTAAAATATCTCAGGAATTTTTCACTCTTTCTGTTAAGAATTGTTTGCCATAAGGACATACAATGGTTAAGTGTATATTAATTTTTACTCCAATGTTTGTATTTTTTAAACTGAACTTTTTTAATGATGATTATTTCATAATAAACGCGGTTAAATGAACTGATACGCCTGGTTAATTCTCATAATGGTTTATTTATTAGTTCATATATAAGTATTACGCTGAATTGAACATATTTTATTGACAAAAAGTCAAAAGGATTAACACAACTTCAAAAACTTAGATAGTCTTCTCCTAATACAACATTTTGAAAAATTGCCAAAACAAAATACATGAATATGTATGGTCTACTACATATACTTAGTAGTAATAGAAAGAAAATAAGATCTTCTTTAAATGTACAAATACAGATTTACATTGGTAAAAAAAATTAAGCTATTACGTTAATTCAAACAAAGAATGAATCCTACTTAAGGATTCTTCTAACATTATTTTAAACTGATATTCCCACGTACATGTACAGAGAAATTTAGAACTGTCATCACTTTCTTGTAATTATCGGTATTGTCTATCTAGGGACATAAACCCTGAAGAATTTTCATTATCTTTGATTCGTGTAAACATTTCTACTCAATACACAATTCATCGGTACAAATTATCCCTGATTATTGTACTACACGAGATTAGCTATGATAAGTCATGTTTACATGACAGACGGTCATTATTTATACAGCTAATCACTGTCGGCCTTTGACTTCCCAGATGGTCACTAATTAATATTGGTGTTAACTGTCAACGGAGACTAATAAATGTCAACAGATACAAACCACACAAACCACAGAGTGTAAGACTTTTCCAAACAAAAACATGATGCTATTATACTTAGCTATTTTTTTCTTATTTGACCAGCTCTGTAAAGATTTATTTCAGCAAATACATGTTACACACCTTCAGCTTGTTAATTCATGACCTACGGCTAAAGGTCTCTGTGAACTTGTGTATTGTCACAGACCCGGTAATGAAAAATATTGGTTAACATGACCTTCAAAACCTTAATGCAGTAATGGTTACACATCAAATGATATGTAATTTCAATTAAAAACAAAAAGATCTTGATTAAATTATTATTTAAAATTATTAATAATTTTAAGTCCTTTTTATTATTTCAATTTTTGTTAATTTTTTTTTCATTTTTTTAATTTAATTTCCGTTATTATTTTTTGATACTCAATGTTCTTCTACAGTGGCTCAACGACTTAGAATACAAAACAGACGTAGTCCGCATCCGGTTCCTGCATTTAGGTACAACCCTCATCACAATAGGGGTCATAGCCGTAACAGGTTCTCCCACAGCCAAAGTGTTATCCCGAAGAGACAGGATTCGTCAAGAGAAATATTTCAAACACACCCTGGACAGAGACTGTCTCCCACTACAGTCGATGCCAAAAGACAGTCAATATTTCGATTCCAGGGAAGAGGTCAGCATGGGATTGATGGGCGCCCTTTTAATAGTGTTGAACACAATACAAATCTTTCACCTCCAATCAGTGGAAGATTAAGGAATCATGTACCCAAAAAGTCATTCCATCCTACCCCACATTTCCATGCTACCCCACATAAGATTTCTAAGCCACAGTTCAGTTTTTTGTCTGCAATGAACACCAACTTCCAAGGAACAACACCCCTTAAAAAATCTCCTCAAAACTTTGTCAGCCTACCTGCTAGGAAATGGATACCACCCACTCCAACTTTTTCCAGAGCTGAAACATCTGGACCAACTTTTTTAAATTCTGTTCACAACAGGCAAAGACTTCAACCAACATATGTCGATAAAAGACCCAGGCAAATCCACCAGAGAAGGTTTACTTCTCCATTAAAAATTACAATGGGAATACAGACAGATCAAGGAGGTTTAGTGTCCCCTCCTATCCCAAACATGCTACCAGAGAACATTGTCATTGCCAATGCTCAAGCCAATTCAGACATTGTGAAAACTGATATGAATTTAATGAAACCTGCGTTTGAAACAAAATTCAGTCAAGACAAGTTCAAGGCAATTGAAGGAACTCTTCAAACTGCAACATCTTCAAAGCCTATAAATACCATAGTAAAATCAGTTACGAAGGCGAAACCTTTGCAGAAGAAGGTGAAGAAAGTAAAATCTGTTCCTGAGAAGGTTAAGAATAAGAAGAATCGAAAGCAAAAAACTGCAAAAACTACAAAATCTAAAAAATCAAAAGCACTGAAGAAGAAAAATGTTAAGCAATCCAAAATTAAGTCAAAGAAAAATAATAAAACAACACCAACACCAGTAACACATGCTTTGACAAAATTACCAAAGACCACGAAGGCACCTACAACAACAGAAAAACCAGACGATGATCTCCTTTTCCCAGGCGGATCTAGCGGCTCTTGGGATGTAGATCGCGATTTTACAAATTCAGGTTCTCAAGAAGTAATGGATTCTTTCGGTAGAGACAGGTTTCTTCCGGGATGTCACTGTACGATGTTTTGTAGACACGGTTTTGAATTTGCGGGATTTTGTGGCGCGTCGTCCGCCGAATTCTTCCGTCCAAGACTGTCAAAGTGCTGCCCCGTCAGAAATGGCTCAGATGGTAGCAGTCGACAGCTGCCTTTCTTCTTTGATGATTAAAATTGAAAATCAATGCTCATATCAAATGATCTAATTTCCGGTTTGATGACTGTCTAAATTTTGTTGTTTATAGCTTTAAAAAAAGTTTCCAAGACATGGTAGTAACTTACAATTGATTACAGTGTTTTTCAGTTGCAAATCAAAAGTGATTTTTAGATAGCTATTTTCGTAATTTTGAGGGAAAAGTGAACTGAATAATATATTTTTTTTTAATTTTATGTAAAAGAATGCTACTCATAATACGGAAGCCGGTAGGTGAGAAAAATATTTCATCTTGCGGTCCTTACTTAGTTATCTGGCGTCCGCCACAGAAATAAATAAGTTAATTAAGATAATTATGTGGCGGCCGCCAGATAAAATATTTTTCTCACTTGGCGGCTACCAGCTTCGTGTTACTAAAACATGTTTTGACATATTTCTTTTTATTTTCAGTCAAAATATTAAAGTTGATTTATATAATTTATACTCATATAGCAGTTTGTTGCATAATTGTTTGCATAAACACGTGCAGAATTTTTTTTTCTTTTTAAATAATTTATTATTATTTATTACATGTTATCCTAGATTGCTATTTAAATAATAAGAGTAGATTGAATTATATCTTATATATCTTATAGATATACATGTAGATATCTTTACAACAACTTGCGCTTTAATTTCAATGTTTGTCTCAGATTTGTTTTGAAAATATGAAAAGCAGAAAAACAAACTTTTTCAGTGCCTCATATTTTACTAAGTTAAATAAAAATCTAATATTTTGCAATTGATTTGTTGTGTGATGTGTATTCTATGGTAAAATCTGGAATCTGCTTCTGATATCTTATTCTCATTTTCTATATTGGCGTAGAATTCCACTCATCACAATCAGTAGATAGATATTGACTGTATCCTTGAGTCATAATTATTTTATGGGCTTGTAGTGACACGGTAAGACAAGTCTCTTTCCCTCACACACACACACACACACACACCCCTTTTGAATTAATTATTTTTACACTTTGTACGATGACCGATATGAGCCGTCAAATTACAAGTAAGAGTAACTCTATTATTAACGCAGAATTAATTGACTTTGGCAGTAATACCTATATAATTTTGTACATGTACATCTTTGTCAATGACTAAACGCTTGTACTTGTAATATGAATTTGTACATGTACAAATCTTGAGACAAAATACATTTGAAACTACTTAACATTCCTCAGATTTATTGGGGAGATTATCTGTAAACTTTGAAAGGGTTTAAAACAAAAACACGTGTGGGTTTTTTTTTTTGGGGGGGGGGGGGTAAATAAATGCTTATATTTAACGATATTAAAAAGAGCAAGACTGTTTGTACTTTCACATACGTCGTATGAGATCACGACTCTCGGATTTTTCCATCAAAGAATATTTTGTAAGTGTCTTTATTCAGATTCCTCGTGTTTTTGTTTGATTTAAACCTCTTTCACGATAACGCAATATAGAAATTCATTCTTAGGCATCAAATACTAGTTAAAGATTCCAGAGACAATGAAGCTGAATCTTTAAGTAAGAAGTTTATTCATTTCCTCATTCTATTCTTTTCCTTGTTCCAATGAAAAAAAAATAAAGGAGAAAAAAATATTAATGGAACAAGAGAAAGAGTAGAATGAAAAATAATTAAAGTTCATACTTACGCAGATCATCGAGCCACAATCTTTCATCTGAAGGGAAGGGAAATACTAGAGATGCAGCTTCATTGTCTCGGGAATCTTTAACCAGTATTTTGGGACCTACAAATGAATTTTAATATGCGTTGTCGATAAGGAAATTAAAATCAAACCAAAACACGAGGAATCTGAATAAAAACACTAACAAAAATATTTTTTGATGGAAAAATTTGAATGTTGAGGTCTCAGACGACGTATGTGAAAGTAAAAATAATCTCGCTGCGTTTTATGATTGTTAAAAATTAGGAATACAGCATTTATTTAACAGCAACAAAAAAGGGAGGGGGGGGGGGGAGAAGAAAAGAGAAGAAAACCAGACACACGTATTTGGTTTTAGTCCCTGTCTTAGTTTACAGATAATCTCCCCAATCAATCTGAGGAATATTAAGTAGTTCCAAATGTATTTTGTCTCAAGATTTGTACATGTACAAATATATATTACAACGACAAGCGTTTTGTCATTGACAAAGATGTACATGTACAAAATGATACAGGTATTACTGCCAAAGTCAATTAATTTTTTTCACACTAATTGTTAGGCCATTATTTACACACTGAATTGTCGACGGATTTTTCTGTTATTTCCCGATCATGACAAGGAGCACACGGCGGGTGTGACCGGTCGGCAGGGGATGCTCACTCCTCCAAGGCACCTGATCCCACCTCTGATGTTTGGAGGTCCGTGTTTGCTCTGCTCCTATTTTGTATTGATTAATGGACTTTTGAGCTTGAATACTGTTCGTTGTCTCCATATATTTCACATAATAGAGTTACTCTTATTTGTAATTTGACAGCTCATATCGGCCATCGTAACTTTGAATTTAGAATTTTGTGCAAGTTGAAAACATTACCTTAGGAAATTGTCTTTGTAAGAATAAATAAGCATTTATTACTATGTGGGCTTCTTGTAGGCTCTAAGATTTTGGAGGCGTATGAGTGGGTAACATTCAATAACGTTATAAAATATCCATAACTGCCAATTAATTTCTTGCTCTGTAGGTGATTGATCTAAACACAAGTTTTAAGAAAAACAAATCACTTTCATATTTCATAAAGTAAAACATAGCGATAAAGGACATACTTTGAAATTAATATTACACACAGTTCTGCACATTAATTGCACTCCCTCCAATTGCAAACTCGATTCTTCTGCTACTAAAACTTCTTAAATCTCAATATATGTTTCGGTATTTCCAGTTCTCCGTCATGATTACATCCTTGTTATTGTGTCTTTCATTTATTGTGAAATGTTTCTTCTATTCTTAATGGAACTTTTCTTCCTAATTCACAAATTGAGACAACCCAGAAGGCAATAAAACCGAGAAGATTTCAATTTATGGTTCAGATTAATCTCTGATTTGTAGTTTCTGCTGTATTAGACATTTTTACATGTTGTCTTTATTTTTGCTGAGAATCCCATGGATTTGGGATTATGTCGATGGACTTTGTTCATTTAAACTCTCCATTTAATAACGAAACATATCATTGCTTACTGTCAATATGTACTTCTATAAACTGCTTAAGTGTAACAAACCCTGACAGACAGCTGCACCCTTATCTACAATACTTTTGCAGCAAAGAAAATTGGTGTGAGAATTATATTTCCCTTTTTTAAGTGTCTGATAAGTATTTTATATGGTTCTGCAACCAGACGACATTCATTGTTAATTACCTTCTACTGCGATGATAACGAATTTTTTAGATTTCTTTACAGAGTCACTGAATCCTACGTTTTTTTAAGCATGTATTTTGTTTGCACCAGGGAGTATGTGAATCTTTGAAAATAAAGTTAATAAGACGATAGAACAACTGTTTTCTTCTTTAGTTAAACCATTAACGAGAATGTGGATAAAGCCATCAACTCCTAGAGGAGTATCTGTATATAAAAGTCTCAGAAAAATCGGACAGCTATCACACTAACGCGAACAAATCATCAGTGAAAGAGAAACCATAAAACCTTTCTTCCCATCTTCTAAAGTGCAATTATGAATCTTTGTACTAGTTTGCGTGGGGATTTGGTGTGATTCAATTGTTCTTAATATTGCAATACAGAAAAAGTATTTCATAAAAAAGCAACAAATTGTTCAAAAATCATTTAAATTTATCGAAAAATGTTTTTAGAATAAAGGAATACAAATTGCAGGATGTGTACTTTTGTCGCAAATTTAGATCCTAAACTTCGAATGTTTTAACAAAAGTATTGATTGTCAGTTCATCGAAATAAATCGAGCAACGAATATCTATTAAAACGTGGAAAAATCACAATGCTAAATTATACCCTTTCTAATTGTCATTTCTGTAGTTTTGTTTTTATTTGTAAATTCTTGTGCTTGAATAAACGATGTACTCGTACCTATGAATCTTATTTGAACAATAACCGATGTTTATCTTTGTACCCGATGTTAAATGGAATCTCAAATTAAAGAGTTAGCAGATTCCATAAGGCAATGATACTTCTGGGTTTTATTCACATTTTTAATGGAACAGAATAAGTAGTATTCTGAATTTACCCGAAAACTCAAGTCTACGGAGTCCAATGAATCTGTTTCAATTTGCTCTAAAAGGCATTCTTAATTAAATGTACTTAAAAATGCATGTAAAAGGAAAGAAAAATAACGCCAGAGAAAATAGTTTGCAACAAGATCAGCTAGCCAAAAAAAATAATTAAAATGAAAAAAAAAAATGTGGAAGTGAGGAAAAAATGAATATCTATCCTAGAGTTACGTTCATAATAAGGACATTAACAAAAAAACAAACAAACAAACAAAAAACAAAAACAAAAAAGACTTTCAAAATTTCTAGTTATATTTATTTAAATGAAATATATGGAGATAACGAACAGTATTCAAGCTCAAAAGTACATTAAACAATACAAATTTCGGAGCAGAGCAAACAAGAACCTCTAAAACATCAGAGGTGGGATCAGGTGCCATGGAGGAGTGAGCATCCCCTGCCGACCGGTCACACCCGTCGTGTGCTCCTTACGGAAAAATCCGTCGACAATTCAATGGCTTAACAATTAGTATGAGAAACGTCAGTCAGCATTTGAATTAATGAAAATTGTATTTCCTGACAAGGTCATTGTATCGATCATAGAACTTAAGAAATGACTACTTTAAACGGGATTGCTGATATTCTTGTTTCATCCACTTGCTTGTCAATAACTTACCTCGTTTTAGAAATAGTTCATACGTAGAGCAAGCTCTTGCGTATCGAATCTCCTGAGAGATATAACTCCCATATGCAGGTGATGAAGGTATATTGCTGCATAAGTAAGGCAAGTTGACGATTGAAATCTTTCTCCTTCTA